TTTTTTTTTTTTTTTTTTGTCTTTCTCTATCGTTTCCTTGATCTCCCAGTTCTCTCTCTTGCCTTGCTGCAAGCTCTTTTTGTGGATCGTCAGTGAAGCACCGTGCTACAGGACTAGCACACTTTAACACCCAAAGTCCCGACAAGTATTAAATACCCAATTTAAAAATAAAAAAAAGACTTTCATGGTTTTATTGGAAGTTTTACCGGTTGAATTTCAAGATGAGATTGAAGAGAAAAACGTGCGACTAGATAGTTTGGTTGAATTATCTTGCATGCTTGATTTTTCTTATGGGTGGGGGTTGATCATGTGGATAACTAGTGGAGCTGACACGTATAGGAGTAGTGCCCCTGACCTTGGACAATAACATAGCTTGTGAGATGGGTTTGCAAGCTACCTTCTATGGATGACGAGCACGTTAGCACTCACCATGTTGTCCTCATCTATTAGAAAGAGTTCGTTGAGGTAGCGCTTCAACTTCGAACACCAATAACTAATGTGTAGGCTAAATTAGCTAACTAAGAATGTGCACAACAAGAGCAATAGATCCAAGTTCGAAACTTCAAAATCTGATGACATACACGAACACCGCCAACGACGACTTTTTCTTCCTCCAATCGCACCGCAACCTCTAGGAATCTCATTAATATGGTCAAATCATTAATGGGACTCACGCACGTAATAATTGACATGTACAATCTTATGGATTTTTTGTATGAAAATTACCCATCTTTTATCATGATGGTCGTGTGTCAAAGTAACTCGACTTCACTTACTAAATGTCACTGTCGATAAGGTGGATAAACCCACCAAGACACATACATATACTTCTAAAATTGACACTTTCACTATTTTGTCACGACAGTTAGACTTTGAAAGAGCTCAACTTCATTGATCGGGTGTCAATTCCAATTAATTAGGTCAATCCCACCGAGATTCCCATATATGAACCTCAAATCATTATGTTTTGGAAAGGTGAAGAGTATCCCAAAGGTGGGATTTTGGTTGTACTTCATTATTCCTCAATTTGCAAAGATACTCTTCACCTTCACCTTTGCAAATTGAGGAATAATGATCAATCACATTGCACGATTCACCTTTCAATTTGCAAAGATACTCTTGATCATGATCTAAATTATTAAACCAAAATCACCTTAATAAGAATAATTTAGAACATGATTATAAATTTATTCGATCGAAAATTTAGTAAAGATTTACGATACATGTATAGGGTGTACTCAATGTGTCCGAGTTTGCCCCAGAAATGTATTAGAAATGATACTTCGGAGCAGACGTAAAGCTAAATAAATAGCTTCTGATATGAACCACGACCAATGAATTTTCATACCTCAAGGTCCAATTATAAAGACGAAAGTCAAGAAGCTACAACAAACCTTGTACACTTATATTCAAGCTATGGTGAGCTCATCAAAGGAAATTCTAGAAGACGGTTGAGACCTCGCTTATATGTTGTGCAAAGTTGAGCTTCAAGAGATGTATTAAATGCATTTTAAGTTGCATTTAATGAACTCAGCTTAATTTATGGAACTAGTCCAAGGATGACTAATAAACACACTTCATCCAATGCACTATTTAATTATAATTTAAATATTTGTTAGTCATATTTAAGTTAATTTTTAATATAGGAGTTAACGGTTATAATGTAACCCCTAGGTTAACATATTCCACTGTTAACTAGCAATTTTAATAGGGAGGTTATGGGTATTTCTCGTTTACTGGCCAATTTAATTTGGGAGTTATGTATCACATAACCTTCTTTTCTAAAAAATAATAGAATTTCTATTTTTTTAGTTTTGTTGAGAGCTAAGAAAAGCAAATTCTTGTGTTGAGAGCTTACATGCTAAAGTCATTCAAGTGATATTGGTCAAACCTCTTGTGGAGTGATTCAAATCACGACTTTAGAAACGAGTTTTCTTTACTCTTGATCTTGATCATCAAGGTAATACGTTCCATACTTTCCCTTGGGTTGATTCCATATCAGCTTCACTCCAAGAACAAAAGACCGTTGGTTGTAAGAGATGTGAATCTGCGTGTTTGACGAATTTCAGATTCATGAACATTTTTTAAGAAAGCTTACTTGGTCGAAAAGTCGGTGCACTTATGCATGGTGGAAGTATTTAGACCGAAAGGAATTGCAAAGGGTCTTAGCTACTTAGATTTTAATATACGACCCGTAGTTTATGCCTAAAATCTCGTATTATTAATAACGAATTTGCAATTCAACACTATCCATGGATTGAAATTATAAGGATATTACTGTAATTTATGGGTACTAATGATGATTACGTGATGATAAACAAAAGATGATGAGAATATTTTGCTTATAGTTTTATATTAGGGCATGTGATGGTTATTATTATATGCTTAAAATACCCCCATTAATATCTTTTGAGTAATTAAAATAATTTCAATTATTATTATAATAATTATGAATAAAATTATAAGTCAACTCTAGCCAATTTTAGCTGGCACAATAGATACTTAATATCACTTTAGTTATTCAAAATATAGTGGTTGTGCTAGTCGTATTAGGATGAACATGTGTACTAAATAATATAGATGTAACGACTTATGTTCAAGATTCGAAATTTGGATTCGATATCTAATGACCCCAATATTCTTCTACGATATGATCACGTTACCTACTATTCGAGAGTAAAGACTATCTCGATAGACCAACACGACTCTTTCCAACATGTTTTATTCTCACTCACATGCATCCCATGAAAATTTTCACGAGCTTACCCAACATCGAAAAGGAAGGTGCACATTTTTTTGTATAGATAGTAACTTTCATTTCCTTTAAGGCTTTTTTAGTCATTCTATTCTTAAGATTGTTCTCATTCGTAGTCTCGGTTCACACATTGTAAGTATAGATAATAACTTTCATTTTCTTTAAACCTTTCTTAGTCATTCTATCCTTAGAATTGCTCTCATTTAGAAGTGTTTTCAATTCATTCATGTACCCATTCTTTACTCGAGTGTCACATGTCCACCAACTTTCGCCTTGATTTGTCTCTTAACCATATTTTACTTATTCAGATGTCGTCTCAGTTTGCACCTTGTTGGTATAGGTAGTAACTTTCATTACCTTTGAACCTTTCTAAATCATTTTATCCTTAAAGTTGCTCTAATTCAAATGTGGTTTCAGTTTATTCATATCTCCTCCTTTCCATCTTGATTCGTCCTCGAACCATATTTTACTGAGAGAGGTATCGCTCTAAATAACTCGTGCCTAAGATTTGGATAAGGATTCAAATTTGAATTCAGCACCTGATCGACCTGACATTTTCTTGCATCCCATATGACATGGTCACATTATCTACTCGTTAGCTTCTTAAGAGTGAAAACTATTGTGAGATCCCACATCGGTTGGGGAGGAGAACAGAACACCCTTTATAAGTGTGTGGAAACCTCTCCCTATCAGACGTGTTTTAAAAATCTTGAAGGAAAGCGCGAAAGGGAAAGTCCTAAGAGAACAATATCTGCTACCGATGGGCCTGGGCCGTTATAAATGGTATCAGAGCCAGACACCAGGTAGTGTGCCAGTGAGGAGGCCGTTCCCCGAATGAGGGGTAGACACGAGGTTATAAATGGTATCAGAGCCAGACACTAGGTGGTGTGCCAGTGAGGAGGCCGTTCCCCGAATGTGGGGTAGACACGAGGTGGTGCGCCAGTAAGGATCAGGGCCTCAAAGGAAGGTGGATTTGATGGGGGGTTCTACGTCAATTGAAGAAAGGAACGAGTGTCAACAAGGATGCTGGGCCTCGAAGGGAGGTGGATTTGATAGGGGGTTCCACGTCAATTGAAGAAAGAAACGAGTGTCAATGAGGATCCTGGGCCTTGAAGGCAGGTGGATTGTAGGGGGCTACTTGAGTATTTTTATACTCACCCATGATACTTCTTGACTCTCGATCGTGTAATAAGTTCCATATCAAAATAGAATTCAAAACTTTATAATTCAAATATTTTCTGGTGTAAATCCTTCCTTATTGACTCGAATTTTAACTCAAGGACGGGTGGCAACAACGAAGTATGATTATTTTAAATAATTAAAAATAATAATAACCCGACAACCCAACAACCTAATCTAGTCTAACCCGAGAATAGAGGGTTGAGTTAAATTCAGCTATTAACTCTATTTAAATTGTTAGCAACCCGATTAATCTAATATTTAGAGTTCATCCAAAAGATTTTTCTAGCTCAATCTATATATACTTCTAGCTCGACTTAGCTCAATAGTCGAGTCAATATGTTGCGTAAAGATTAGAAATATATATTAGAAAACATGATTAAGTAATGAATTATTGTTTGAGGATAGAGTTTGGGGCAAGTGGGACAACCAAATTTATGAGCTGCCAGCGGGTTGAAGTCTTGTCATTTTCATTCATTTATTATCTTTGATTAATAAAGTCCAATTGTGACACAAATTAAATAAACAATATAATTGTCAATCAAATTCTTATGATTGCATCAATTTGATGCATTATATTTCTGGTTTCATTACTCAATTTATCACGACTTTTAACGGAAGTTCGTTTTGACCCGTTATGTATCGTTAACAGTCTCATAATTTTAAAACGTGTCTGCTAGGGAGACGTTTCTACACTCTTATAGGAATGCTTCGTTCCACCCCTTCATAAGATATTGTCCTGCCAGCGGTAGACTTGAACTGTTACAAAAGATGCGTTTTAGAATCGTGAGGATGATGGCGATACATAGCGAGTCAAAGCGGACAATATCTGCTAGCGGTGAGCTTGAGCTGTTACAAATAATATCAGAACCAGTCACTGAACGATGCAATGCATTGGTTGGAGTAGGCCAAACCCTCTTACACGCGTTTTAAAAACCTTGAGGGGAGAATCCAGAGAAGACAATATCTGCTAGTGGTGGGCTTGGATGGTTACCATATTATTTTGTTTTCCACAAGGCATATTACACGACATATATTCAAGAAGATTCAACAAGCGTTTAGTCTTCACTTACAAATTTGATAGGCTACGTCCAACCTTCATTTCATCTTGTTTTATAAACTATTCTAAGAGAGAAATGACCTTTTGGAGCTTTCGAAGTTAGTATCGTCATCATAACAGTTCAAACCCAACCAGTACCTTGCATCATTCGGTGACCGGTTATGATACCATTTGTAACAGCTCAAACCCATCGCTAGTAGATATTGTCCGCTTCGGCTCGTTATATATCATCATTAGCCTCACAATTCTAAAACGCATCTTTTGTAACAGCGCAAGTCCACCGCTAGTAGGACAAGTTCTCTTACAAAAGATTGCATCCACATCATTCAATACAACCTCAATCAAGTTAGATTATGAAGTGTCTCAATCTAAAATAAGATTTCGAAATCTTTCTTTTATATATTTGATAGGAAGAGACAGTATAGTTCTAGTATAGAACTTCATTTCGAGCTTCCCCCTAAGGTTTTTAAAACACGTTTGCTAGGGAGACGAAAGGTTTCCACACCCTTAAAAAATATATTATGTTTCCCTCTTCAACCGATGTGGGATGTCACAATGCACCCCCCCCTTGCCCAGTGTCCACTCTCCTTCGAGTCTCAGTGTCCTCGTTGGCACACTACCTGGTGTCGGGCTCTGATACCATTTGTAACCGCCAAAACTCTATCCTCTTTGTACTTTTTCTTTCGGGCGTACCATCAAAGCTTTTAAAACACGTCTACTAGAGAGAAATTTTCACACTCTTATAAATAATGTTTTGTTTCCATCTCCAACCGATGTAGGATCTCACAGCAAGAGCCTTCAATAAAAGGCAACGCCACTCAAAGTGGCCTCGTTAATATATATTTAAAAACAACCCCAAATGGGATTATTAAGGTTTTGGGTAATTCATGGAATTTAAAAACCAAATTTTCAAATAAGACTTAAAAAAGTGCAAGCAAAGAACAAAGCAAGATGTTTCAACTGTCTTCCAAGTGGGAGCCATGCTGTCTTTGAATGTTTTTTTAACCAATTAACGTGGCAAATCCTTATTGGACAGGTGGTTTGTGAATGCTGATTGGATGTCTTGTCATAAATTCATGAGACCCACAAAGGTATTGGGAATCCAAGTCAGGGTGAATATGACGTTTAGGTACAGATTTATGTTCCCAAATAGGCTTGACGTGGACTTGTAGAGGGTCTGACACGTGGCCATCAAGCATATTCCTTTAAATTATTATTTTGTTCTTTTACCTTCTAAAACTAATTAGCTATTTATATTTATAGATTTTAATTTATTCTTTCACTTTTTACGGGTATACATTCAACTTGACAACTCGGACCAATCCAACCTGAACTATAAAGGTTGGATGGGGTTGAATTAGCTTCGGGTAGGGTTGAATTCATTTTTCTGAACCCGAACTAAATCAGTTTAATTTCGGGTTCGTGCATAAAACCTTCGGGTTGACCTGAACTCAATAAAAATATATAATTTATATTAAGAATCTTTTCGTATTAATAGGTTTGCTAGAATGGTACCTCGGCCTCTCTACGAACACTCACCCAAGTCAACGCTAATATTTTGTTTAGTTTAGGACTAAAGGTCACGCCATAACTCAGACCATGTACACCCCTAGTCACTTTTGTGTGATATTCGATTTATTAATTTTTATGTTTTATATAGAGATAGACAGCTCTTAAGTCCTAATAATTTAGAGTCGACCTTATCACTAAATCTAAAATTTAATTTGACAAAAAAAAAAAAAAGAGTTCGATAATAAATTTTGTGTTTAGTTTTCTTTGATATTTTAAAATATAAAAAAAAATGATTAGTTTGATAATTATTTGATTTATTTTTTTACTAAGGACGTGGAAACCTCTCCTTAACAGACACGTTTTAAAACCGTGGACTGACAACGATACACAACGGATCAAAATGGACCTTATTGCTAAATCTAAAATTTAATTTGAAAAAAAAAAATTTGAGTCCAATAATAAATTTTATGTTTAGTTTTCTTTGATATTTTAACATATATATAAAAAAATATGATCTAATTTGATAATTATTTTTTTTCATTGTAACTAAACTGTGAGACCTCGTATCGTTTGGAGAGGGGAACGAAACATTCGTTATAAGAATCCGAACCAAACAGTGAGCGGTGTGTCAGTGAAGATGTTAGGTCCCCAAGGGAAAGATTGTGAGATCTGGTTAGAGAGAGGAACGAAGCAATTTTTGTAAGGGTGTGGAAACCTCTCCATAACAGATACGTTTTAAAACTGTGAGACTGACAACGATATGTAACGGGTCAAAGTAGTCAGGATTTATTCATGTACCCTTTTTTTACTCGAGTGTCACACGATGATTCAATTTTATAATTAAAAATGAATACGCTAAAATGAATAATTAATATTAGCTTGTATCACACATTTTTTTTGCTACCATACTCGATTATTAAAATAATTCCATATGATAATTTAAGCTTACTTTTTTGTTATTAATATTTAATTATAGATTCCAATGCTAAAGTTTTTATTTATTTTTTTTATTTGATTTGTACAAAGAAATTTGTACTTCTCCAAAATTAATAATAATAATTCAATCTTGTCCTCGTGGATCCCAAAAACTAATATTATTATTTAAAAAAAATTATTATTAATAATATACTTTTGAGAAAACTTAAAAGTGTATGTAATTGCAAATTTTAATTAAATATTTAAAAATAAATAAATAAATAGATGCTTTGACGAATGATCTTGAAGAACTAAACTAAACCAAACAAAAAAAAAAGTTTGGTATGGAAATCAGTGCAAGGAGAGTAAGATTCGGATTACCTTGTTGATAGAATATCTCAAGGCAAGAACATTGTTTGAGATTCGAATCACTCCACAAGCAAGATCGATCATGTCTATCATTGAGATTTGAATCACTCCACAACCAAGATTGATCATGTCGAGCTTGAATGATTCTCCATACAACCTAAACTACATAGAATTGCAAAAAAAACTTAGTCATTGGCTAAAGAAAAACACAAATGCTTCTCTTACTCTATTTTCCAAGTCTACTTACAAATACAACATACAGCTTTATATAGTCTCAAAATGAAACTATTAAGAACATTCCAAGAGTTGTAACATTCATACTTAATGACCATAATTAACCATTATGTAATTGTAACCTAATGTAAATAAAAAGTCTTAAAATACATTAATGAAATACAATAACTCTAAATTGTAATCCACCCAAAATTTATAACGTGAAACTTCATTCTTCTTCAATGTGTGGCATGAATTGAAATATCTTTTGATAATTTCAACAATATTTTCTTCGCATCTTCATTGAAGTATATTGTATGATTGATATCTCTTGGTTCCTATCAAAGTTATTATTAAGTTGAGTTGGGTTCATTATTAAAATTATTTCAATTGAATTAAAAATAAAAATAAAAACTCGAACAATTAGAATGGATCTAAATTAATACATAATTAATAGAAAAAAAAACATTAAATTATGACAACCCAACATCCAACGACATGTGTTTCCTACTATTTACATCCCTCCATAGGAATCAACTCATCCAATAATTACCATAAAAATTAAATTTTTTTATTTAAAAAAAAAACTACATTTATTAGTATTTTAATAAAATTCTTTTATTTTATATAATAATGGTTACGACTCGTTTGGTTACCAAATTGAGAATATGAATTTTTAGGGTATAGTACGAGTTATTTGCTACATTATTGTTATGAATAATAACGTCTTATGAGTAATACCTCAGCAGATCCTATAAAGAGAAAGGCTCTCCATTCCTTTTCGACCTTTTATACCTTTTATTTATATTTCTATCCGTCATTTTCAAATGGTTTATAAAGGAATTGGAAGGAGGGAAATAAATTCGTTATATTTAATTTTTGAAATGTGACATTTATAATTAACTTTTTAATTTGATTATTAAACTAATTATTTATATTTTAAATTTTATTAAAATCATTTATTTTAAGAATAATTATTAATATTGACTTGTAAATAAACTCAAAAATATAAATTTAAGACTGTATTTATAATATAGGTATTAATAAATGAAAATTAAACCAGTGTTTAGTGAATGGGCCTTTAAGCCCAATTTGTAGACAGATTTGGACCTTTAAGCCCAATTTATACTTCAGAAAATGGGCCTTCAAGCCCAATTTGTAAACAGATTTGGACCTTAATTGTTTAGTGAATGAATTTTGGGCCAAGTTTTGGAAATATTATAGAGAATTGTTATTAAAAAAAAAACAAAATTATTTGAGAAATGTTGGGGGATTTTTATTTACTTTTATTTTCTAAAATTGTGCATTTTTAAGAAAATAATTTTATGTTAAATTTTAAATTTAGCCCCTAAAGTTTTAAAAATTGAAGTTTTTGTCCGTTGGTTACTGCTCGCAGATATTGTCTTCTTTGAACTTTTCCTTTCGGGCTTTCTCCAAGATTTTAAGACGTGTCGTTTTGTTAGGCTCTTTGGACTTTTCCTTCTGGGTTTCCTCCAAGGTTTTAAAACGCTTCCGTCCATTAGGGAGAGGTTTTTACACCCTTATAAAATGTTACGTTCTCCTCTCCAACCGACGTGGGATCTCAAAGTTAACCTAGGAATTATCAAAATAAAAAAAATCTTAATCCTGGCTAACCAAAGAATTAAACAAACGAATCCTAATTCTTAGACCCTAATCTCTGTATGTAACTATTATCGTATGAATATTGCTCGTTAGTCTCCGAGTAGGAGATTGTTAAATTCATGGAGGTCAATCATCAATCGTGATCATCAAACTTGTTTAGAGCTCGACTGAA